CTTCCAAACCGGCCAACGAGGTCGGATGACGGCACTTGGCCTTCACTGGCGTCATTTGATGTTTTTTTTTCTAGTGATTCTCTTTCTTGGTAATCTTCTTAGGGATTCTTCAGTGAATGTCTTATCATACTTAAGGATGCGCCGTGCATTCGACTTACACTTAGACACTAAGATACACCTGTGTACCTGTCTGGCAAAATCATTCATACGCGATCTGCGAACGAAAGTGGATAGCCGTTAATGTCAGCCCCTGATGCTTTCGAAAAATTGCAGCTATCTATCGTATCACTGTCATTCCATAAAAATCTGGTATTTCATCGGAGAGCATTCAAACGTATAAATTTCTTCCTCAGAAGACCTATTCCGCCCGGTACCGAAGAATTCGTCGAGGTAGCATGAAACCATACGATACATGGAAACAGGAATTCATGCTGGATCGATGCTGCAACGAAAAGGACTTCATTAAAGAGGTGAGAAATAAATAATCCACCATTCACTTAGGGGGGGGGGGGGGGGGGGGGGGNGGCGAAGACGATAAATGGTTTGCATGTTATTTTCCACTCTTCTTCTGCATTTCAACACTTCTCAGCGTTCTAGTGGCTAAGTTTTGAAAATGGAACGTAGTGAAATTTGCATAATAGCAGTATTTGCACAAATGGTTTCCAGTAACTGTCCTTCAGTCGGTGTTCTGCCTCAACAAAAAACCCAATCAAATCCGTTTGGTGCCTTCGTGACAGTTTTATGCTGCTCCATTTGAAATCTTCTTGCAGCTTGTGATCTCCTCAACTCCTCATGTTCTACTGAATCTACTGTTGATCGCATACCTTCTCTTCGGAACCGTTCTACTGCAGTATGCCGATGAGGGAATTGGTGAAGCAGATTTCTCACGGGCACTACTATTCATATTCACCACGATCTTGACGATAGGTTCGTTTTTGGACATCTTTATGTGTTTTCAAATTGTTGCACCCTCGATGGTCCGCAAAAGGTTGCTGGGTACTCATTTCCAGGATATGGTAAAGTAGTCCCAACCACGGACATTGGGAAATTAGTCTGTATTGCATATTGTGTAATTGGTATTCCTCTGATATTCCTAGTTCTGTCAAATAATGGCCAGTTCGTTGTAGAGGCCTATTGGATTATCCGAAAAAGCGGTGGAGGCAAGGTATCTTTTTTTGATCAACTCATCGGAATGCAAGGTTCTGATCAGAGAGACTCAAAGTGACTTTTCAGAATGACGATGTCTCTAAAGGACTACCACTTTGGTTGTCAATGACGCTGCTTTGCTTGCACTCACTCATGGGTGGCCTTATATTCAGCACATGGATGGGTCAAATGCGATTTTTCGATGCCATCTATTGCACGTGAGTAGTACTTTCTTATTTGTTTTTCACCTACTTAATTTTGTGTCATTTTTCTAATTTTAATTATTAATTGTAAATCATATTTGCCTAACTTCGACGATAGCACGTCCTTCCCAGTCTTGAGTAAAGTGAGTCTCCGTAAACGGGCGCA